ATCCTAAATCCTTAACCTAAATCCTGAATCCCGAACCTAAATCTTAAATCCCTAAGAACCATGCAGCTCCTGCAAAAAAGCCCAAAACGTCAACCCAAAAGCACCCAAATCCACAAACTCTTGGAAGGTCCTTTGCCCTGCCTTGTTTGGGGTACGACCGGCGAGCGCGAAGGTGAAGGGCTCCGGGTTCCGCTTCAGCGCAGTTTCTGGAAGCAGGGCATTTGGGAGTTTCCGAAAATAGGGGACCCTAATATAGTACCTAAATAGTAGGATCCCTATTGAAAGGACCCCAAAAGAAGGTACCCCTAATTTCGGAAACTCCCATTTAGGGTTTAGGTTCTAGGCATACTCTTGGCATCTTCGGGGCCCGTAGTACCCAGAGACTCCAATATCCTTGAATAAAGGAATATACCTTAAATTATGGTAGGATCCCTAATATGATTTAAGGAATATTCCTTAATTAAGGGATACTGGAGTCTCTGGGTAGTAACTGTAGTAACTTAGACCAGGCTTCCTTAAAAGGGCCACGGGGCTCGGGCTCTACAGTTTGAGGCTTTGGGAAGGGCCTCGCACTCTGAGTTCAGGCCGCAGGTTCGGGGTTTTTAGGTGCAGGGTTTAGGGCTTAGGGTTTAGAGTTTAGGGTTGAAGGTTTAGGTTTTTAGAGCTTAGGGTTTAGGGTTTAGGGTTGAAGGTTTAGGTTTTAGAGCTTAGGGTTTAGGGTTTAGGTTTTAGGGCTTAGGGTCTAGGTAACTTGAGCTACCAAAACCCGTTTTTGGTAGGGCACCTGTAAATCATATACTATGGTATGTCAATAAGCCTATAAAAAGGGGTTCTGGTAGGTTACGGTAGAGTTTATGGTTTAGGACGTATGGTTCAGGGCTCAGGGTTTAGGGGGTGTAAAGGCTTGGGAGCTAAGTTTCGGGTGTATTGCTTAGGACATTTCAATTGGGCTGGAGGCAGCGAACCTGAAACTGTGGTATGCAGGGGTCAACATTTAAGATTCCAGCCTTCAATTCGCGGTATTCTCGAGGCCTTAACAATCGAACAGGGTTTGGGGTATATTGTAGTGTACTTATAGTACGGAACCCTAAGGAATTATATTCCTCATCATTCAAGCTTCTACATTAAAACATAACCACAAGAGAACCCTCAACGAACCCCATCGAACCCGATACAACCCTAATGCAGCTTCTATATCTTGGCTGACTCCTGAACTCCGCCTGCTCATTAACCTTTTAGCGTCCTCAATATAGTTCATATCGACACCCAAGAAAGTTGTAAAGTACGAAGGGCCAACCAGAAGAACGCAAAGACATTGTCCAAAGCCCCTTAAGTAAGGAATATACTGAATATACTCAAGGGATATTCCCCTAAACCCTAAAGCCCCCTAAATCAGAAACCCTAAAGCCCCTTAAACGCTGAAACCCTAAACCCTAAACTCCAGTTAAGGCATTTTGGCGTTTCTGGGTGATCGAAAGGCTTCCGATTTGGCTTGGGGAAATTAGGACTGTGACCGGCGCTCCCAGATGCCAGGCTCTCAGCGTGGAGCTCGCAGGCAGGGTTTGGGGTTTAGGTGAGTAGGGTTTAGGGTTCAGGGTTTCGGATAAGAGTGTAAAGTGGGTTTCAGTTGAGTTCTTGGTGAATTTCCAACTCTTGGATGGACGACCGGCTTAGGCAGACCAAATACTCTCGGAAATTGCAGCTACCTGTTTGGGGTATGGGTTCCGCGGTCTGCCTGGACAGTAGCCCACCTTTGAAAAGAGGGTCTAGTCAGGTCCAGGTAAGGGTTCTTAGGATCTACTTGACCCCAAATAGCCCATCTTTTCCAGGACTTACATAAAGAAGTCATATGGGCGGTTGTCAAAATTAAGGTCCCTTTTTGGGTACCCTAAATAATAGGTGCCGTATTATATTAGGGACCCAAAAAGGAACCATAATTTTGACAACCACCTACATAAAGAAGTCATATTGGGGAACCCTACAAAGGTATGCTATTTTTTTGGGTCAGTTAGGTGCTGAGACGTCGGGCCGAGTCACTTTTCAGATACTGGATCATGAGGTAGCCGGTGTAGCCGGAGACACCTAAGGCATTTTCGTGATCCACGAGTGCTTGTAAAAACCGACTGTTGAAGTGAGAACTTGAAGCGTACTGACGATCTGAAGCTCACGGCTTAAAGCCACGAAACGAAGGAGAACTCCCTGACGGGAAATGGGAAATTGAGAAAAAGAGGTATCTCATGTAGGAGTCCTTTGAAGAGGGATCCTCCTGTTTGGACTTGTTTCTTACACTTCCTTTCCGAAACTCTCGAATGCAATGTCGAGGCCTTAACGATTCGAAGAGGGTTTTGGGGGTATACTATACTACAAAGATGTAGGGACTATAAAGGAATACTATTGCTGATACTACAAATTATTGAAGCTTCTACCTAAACCCTAAAGCCAGAGAGCCCAATACCCCTTAATTAAGAAAGATAGCTTAAATCATAATATGGAGCCCTACATAATTCAAGGGGTATTGGGCTCTCTGGGAACCCCAAACCTAATAACTTAAAGCATCCCGACCTCCAGCAGCAGTGCCCGTCGGAGGGGAGTTCACAGCAGGGCAAGGGTGCAGGCAAGTTTCAAGGGGTGCGAGGAGGGGTAACAAGATACTTAAAGGATCAGGGGACTTAGTAAGTAGTGTCATAAGTAAGGGAACTGTAGTTATATCTTCTTAGAAACCTAATTGAGGTACTTATACCCCTACTTACTAAGTCCCATGATCCTCCAAGCAGGCCTTAACAACTAGAATAAGGGCCCAATATAAACTTAAGTTAAGAACCCTCAGAATAGCGAATAGCATTGATAATTACGTAGCTGGGCTTCGATAGTATGGGCCTACTCGCACCGTTAGATGGGGGCACCAGGCTTGACGGCATGCGGGCTCGACCCTAACAAACACCATGACATAGGGACCTTAACAATTAGAACAAGGTTTTGGGGCCCATTGCCCTACAATCATAATAAGGAACCCCGAACTAGTGCAATTATGAAGGCCCCTATCATAGAACTCGACAGGAGCTGATGACGAGCCAGCTTCTCGTGTCCCTCGCAAAGTGATCTTTAGGGTTTAGTGTTCGGGTAGACTCAGCTTCCTTACTCAAAACCCTAAACCCCTAAACCCTAAACCCCTAAACCCTGATCACGCTCTGCACCAGAGTTGTGTCATCGGGCTCTCATCTGAACTCTACTAAGGCGACAAGCACACTCAAGGGCTTAACCCAGAGCCAAAGTGCGCAGATGACGCCACTGCACCCGAAAATTGCTGAATGATCTGTGCAACCAGAAGCTTCAGAGACTGGCAGGTCCTCAGCACGATGGCCCTAAACCCTAAACTCTAAACTCCCGCAGTGCTCCGCAGCAGCTACAGCTACTGGGGGATTGAGACCCACCTCATCTCCAGCTCGGCAAGCTGAACACATTTGTGAGTTTCCGAAAACTAGGGGTACCTTATTTTGGGGTCCTTATAATAAGGATTTAGGGTACTATATTAGGGTCCCCGATTTTTTTCGGAAACTCCCATAACGTATGAGGGGAGGGGAGAGAAAGAAGGTGGTAAGCAGAGCCGTGAGGACCCTAACTGCCCTCACTAGGACTACACCATTTACAAGTTTAATTCTTTAATCGTGATCCTGTGGAATATTTCTGGCTTGTCAGAACCTGCGTTTGACCAGATCCGACGGCCGTGTTCCCCAAAATAGCGGTCCACCTTCGGAGGCTGCACTCCGAAGCAGCATGCAGATACTGCGAAGCAGCGAGCCGACCTACAGCCTCGTGCGAATCGCAGCAACCGCGAAGCCAAGGCAAAAACTACTGTAGGGGCCCTGGTAGTTCGAATAGGATTTGGGGTGTACTATACTACAAGAATATAGGGGGGTATATTATATACTAGAATCGTAAAGAGGAACCCCACACTAGTATTGGTATTGACTTAGGCCCCGATAGTATCAATGACGTTAGAGACTGCTAAGGACGACTCTTGCTAAGTTATTCTGACCCCTACATTAGGGTTTAGGGCTTTTTTTTATGAGCCCTTTTCGAACTGCAGAACAGTTAGAACTCCTATACTAGGAGGAGCCGATGGTTGGGGCCTGGTTTGATTGAAAGGGTTTAGGGTTTAGGGTTCAGGGTGTTGGGGTCTCGCATTTGTGAAACGGCATTTAGAAGAATTGGGAGATCTTCGGGCGCCAAATCGGGCAGTCTCAACTGAGACACCGAAAACAATGTCGAAGCACCTCAAAGTATGAGGCTGTGAGCTTGAGAAGACTCGGAAAGCCACGCAAGAACTAAGAACCAAGCTCTAATCCCTAAGCCCTAAACCCTTTCTAATGACCAGGCGGAAACCAGATTCGACATTGCTGACGCCCATTCTGCTCGAAAGCCGCATGTCTCCCCATCATGGCCTGAGACTTTTTTGCACGTCCCATGAGAGTTGAAAAGTTGTTTAGGGTCTGGGTTTTACGGCTTAGCTTTAGGGTTTAAGGTTTAAGACTTTAAGAGTACACTCAGCCCAGGCAGCAAACAGGCAGACTTCGCGATGCCATAGGCATTGCTCAGACAGGGAGCAAAAACCCGAAGAATCCAAAACCCACTAATTAAGGAAAAGCAGTTGAATTGTAATGGGAACCCTCGTCTGATTTTAAGGCAGATTCCTTCATTCAGGGTTTCTGGAGCCTCTGGGAAGCAGTGCCAACACCTCCATCAGTTTAAGAGGCAGTAACAGCGACCATGGGTCTGAGAACTCGATGGTTACAACCACAGCCAACCACACTGTCAAGCGCATCGAAGGAAGGAGTTGCTCTGGGTTTTTTTTGGTTTAGGGGTTTAGGGCTTAGGGGCTTAGAGTTTAGGGGTTTAGGGTTCAGGGTATCGGCACTGCAAGCTGCATCAAGGCATCAAGGTGTCGACTTCGACCCTTCACTCACGTACGGAAGATGGAAACAACTGTTCCCACGCGGTCTTCACTCGAGGTCGCCACTGACTACAGGTGCGAACTCGAAGGCATCTGCTTCTCCTGGTAGCACATCTTGCGACTCGTCTGACGACTCGCTGAGATGCCTTTGGTACACGCTCAAATCGCTATTTCGAACGCCGGACAAAAGCTCAGCGCACTGGCCAGGTGCTGTTGAGTGGTGAAACTGCGAAAATTGTGCATCTTGGTGCGTGCCGGGATGATGTAATGATGCACCCTCTGCTGGCGGATGATCTGATTCAAAGTCCTGGTCCTGAGGTGGAGCAACGAGCAGGGAGGGAGGGTCCTCTTTGAGCATGTCACCCATGTCCTCGTGCAAAGGGACATTGGCTGACCTTGCTGAAAGTGGGAAGTCAAGCACAACACGGGTATGCTCCTGCTTGCTCTCTTGATCATTCTGGGTGTCAGCCGCAATGACAGTCGACCTGCAGCTGCATTCCACCACAGCTGTGCATCCTCCTTGGTTCATCGCTGCTTCTGCCACAGAAGAGTTGGAGACAACCCGGCCGGGGAGAGTGTATTTTGCTTGTGCTTTCTGAGCTCCAGTCGCTTGTGGGGGATCCGCTTCCGCGTCCCCGCTGGGCAGCAAGCCGACTCCACCAGAAAAGCAATGCGCACTCTCCGGCTCCTGTGGTGCTCTTGAGACTGATGCCTCGGACGAGCAAAGCATGCTCTGAAGAGCCTTGGACACTCTTTGCCTCACCCTCACAGGCAATGACCTGCTCCGCCTCCTGGAGGGGTTCGATATGCGACCAAGGCCGCCCAGCAAGGAGGCTTTGGGTGCTGCAGCTCTAGCGCTTGGAGAAGCTTCCTCGGAAATGGACCGTGCATCTTTTCCGCAGAGAATTTCCAGGCTGCAATCTTCAGGCGCATCTACATAACCATAGTGAACCAGGGCAGCATGCGCGATCCTGACTGCCCGAGACTTGCCACCCATGGTCACAAGAGATTCCAGGTCCGTAAACTCCTTGAAGCACCTCATGGCGCTTGGACGATCCTTGGCTTCTTTGGACATCATCCGCAGCACCAGAGATGCAATTGCACTCCATCGTTCGTCCTTCAACCCAGGAATCTCCACCTCAAGAGCTGAGTATTAGAAAAAAGTCTCAACTTTCTCAAAGATGATCGGGTGATATGAACCTCGAAATGTTGAGCTTATCAATGATACTGGAGTTCTATACCCCTATATATATATATATATACATACCCTAAACCGTAAACCCTAAACCCCCTAAACCCCCAGCGAACCCAATACCCCTTAATTCAAGAATCTACCTCAAATTAAACTAGTAAGCCCCCTATAATTTACGGTGTATTCCTGAAATCCCTTATAGAACCCCTATAGATCCCTTTAAGGAACCCTTAGGCCTTAGGTATACTCCTTAGCTATTAAACCACAAACCCCAAACCCTAAACCCTAAACCCATATGGGTGGTTGTCAAAATTAGGGTCCCTTTTTGGGTACCTATTATAATACGGCACCTAATATTCATGGTACCCAAAAAGGGACCTTAATTTTGACAACCGCCCATATTCCTTAATTCAGGGGTACTGGGGGGATCTTTCGGCCCTCCGCCCACCTCCCAGCCCTGAGTCATCTGCAGCGTCTCAGCGGGAGTGGCGCCCCAAAAAGGCAAAGCTCGAAACATCATGAAGTAACCTAGGCTCTTACCTTTGGGTTTAGGGTTTAGGGTTTAGGGTTTAGGGTTTAGGGTTCGGGGTTTAGGGTTTAGGGTTATGAAGTATCCTGGGCTCTTACTTGGGGTTTAGGTTTTGTTTTTCTTTCAGAGGCTGCTAGAGTGGATTTAGGGCTTAGGGTTTACGGGTTACTTTTAGTTACCAACATGGCAAGCCATGTTATTTGCTATAGGTCCCTACGATTGTAGCGTACATTAAACTCCTTTACAAGAACCCAGCAACTCAGGACTCCCAGGGCAAAAACGTCCACGAGCTCGTCATAGCACCGCATGATGGGAGCTATCATCTCTGGCGCGGCATAGCCTGGCGATCCAACAGATTGGCACATGGCTTCCTTGTCATTTCGGTATGCGGCAACCCCGAAGTCAATGAGCACTGCACGATCCTTCTGCATGACCACGTTCTCTGCTTTAACATCTCGGTGGACGATGTGCAAGCAGTGCAAGTGCGTCAATGCTGATGACAGGCCGGCTTGAATATCCAGAATGAGCCTTAAGGACAAACATTTTGCCTTGATCATGTTGAAGAGATCACCTTCGGTGCAATGCTCCATCGCAAGGAGCCATCTCACGCTGAACTTCCGCGCCTCTGCGTAAACACCTAAGAGGGCCGAGATGTTCGGATGACCTGCCGACTGCTGCAGGAAGCAAACCTCTCGACGAACCATCGCCGAATCAAGCTTGTCCCAAATCTTGACAGCCACCCGTCCGAAGTTGTGGACTTTGCTCATATTCAGCACGTCTGCTTTCGAAGGGATCAGCGTACGGTGCTCTTCATACAGAGGGAGAAGGGACATGCCTCCAAGAACTGTCCCTTGGGATCCCTGGCCTAAAATGTGGGCCGGGAGGTGAAGACACTGTCGAGAATCCCAACGAACAGCACCGCGCCTGCTAAGACTTATGATGAAGTGATCCAGAGAACAGTCGCAGGCACTCGTACAAAGCAGCCAAACCACTGATTTTGCTCTGCCAGTAGCCCGGGGAGCAATCAGAATGATGTGCGTGGCATCTGGCGCTGGTGAGAAAGGCGGTGCCAGTTTCGAGTGCACAGGAGCAAACATGACATCTGCAAGCAAGAGCGGGATAAGCAACGACGACATGCCGTCTACTTCCCACAGGATGCCCTCTTTGCTCAAGCAAAGCGGTGACTTTCCGGACGGCTTCTTTAAGCCGCCGAAGTCCCCATACCAGCGGCGGCCACTTTTTGACTTTGAAGTCAGGGTCTGGCCTGCAGCAGCGCGCTGGAGAATCCTTTCCAAACGATACCTTCGCTCTGCAGATTCCAGGAGAAAGCTGTCGGAGCATGCTCGGAAATCTCCTTGCCATCCCTGTGGCCACGAAACCTTGGGAGACACGTGAATGCCGTGAAGCCAGCAGTCAAAAGCACCCATGGTCCCGAGAGCATCAGCCCCCGAGGCACGTGGAGCACGGAGGGACTCAGCCCGGTGTTTAGCTAAAAGGGCTTCCTCGACGTCCACTCGCAAAAATTGCTTCTGGCAAGGAGCTCTACGTTACGCGACGTGTCGCCTCGAGCCGACATGCTTTGGGGCTTCAGGCTTTACTTAGAGGATCAGGGGAGTTAGTAGCTAGGGTTATAAGTAAGGTAACTATAGTTATATCTTCTTTTAACCCTAATTAAGGTACTTATAACCCTAACTACTATGTACCATGATCCTCTAAGTAGGATGCAGGCTCTGGGTCTGGGTTGCAACTCCTGCTACAATTGGGGCACCAATCCCCCCCGCACCTACAGAACTCCTGTGCCTGAAGCCAGAGCCACAAAACCGTCTGCCGTAACAAAAAAAAGGCATTGCTCAATATCAATGTGGGAGTTTCCGAAACTTGGGGGATGCCTTATTTTGGGGGATCTTATAATAGGAATCCTACTATCTAGGGTGCTATATTAGGGTCCCCCATTTTCGAAAACTCCCCTGTGCCTTCAGAATAGAGAAGGGCCTTAACATGACGTTGGTCTATTCCGTAACTATCACTCTCTTCAAGACTTGTTTCCGAGAATTAGGGGGTACCTTATTCCATAAGGATCCTACTGTTTAGGGTACCATATTCGGGCCCCCTCTTGTCGGAAACTCCCACTTCGACCATGCTGCCGTAGAAGACGATGTCGTACTTGGTGCCGTCCCAGTTCGTGGCCCAAGACATGTTCAGAAACCTCCCGGGCTGCAAAAAAACCGTAAAGGATCATGGGACTTAGTAAGGTAGGGTTGTAAGTATGGTAACTATAGTTATTTCTACTTATAACCGTAATTAAGGTACTTACAACCCTACTTACTAAGTCCCATGATCCTCCAAGTAAGGGATCCTTGAGGGTTCCTTTAAAAGGGTTCCTTCAAGGGTTCCGTTAAAAGGGCTCCTTGAAGGGTCCAGGTTCCTCAAAGGATTCTTTTATGGGGCCGTACACATAGAACAGGGACTTTTATTTGAAGGATATGGTACTAGACCCAAATAAGGGAACCTAGACCCTAAGAAAAGGAATAAGGGCCCACTCTGGGTGCTAGGGTATATTATAGCACAATGGCTATGGACTATAAGGGATTGGTCTTGCGCTCACACATCGCTTGGAACCAGGCAAACAGAACATTCACTATGCTCCACGAAAGACTCCCAACCTCTATGTTGAGCTCCCCCTACGAGCCCCAACGGCGAATCCCGCACCTTGAACTGTATTCTTTTCCAAGACATACATGAGGGTTTCTTTGAGTTCAAAGTCATGTCTTTAGTTCTGGTGCCTTTCAGGTTTTGTTGCGGTACTCAAGATTACTCCAGCATCGCAACAACGAAGGCGCACAAAAGACAGCAATATCAGGTAGCCAATGGCAGCGAAAACCGTAGCAGCGAAACAGACGTCAACGGAAGTGGCACTGCTTACAAAAGTGATGAAAGACAATGGTGATGGTGGTGAGGGCGGTGTTGATGATGGTGGTGGTGATGGTGATGACGATGACATTGCGTTATGACAAGAGTGGTGGCAATGACGGTGATGACGATGATCATGATGATGATGACACTGAAGCCCGTTATGGCAATAGTGGTGACAATGCACGTTATGATGATAACGATGAAAATGATAATGATGATGACGAGGGGTCCCTTACTTTCGGAAACTCCCTTTTCACCGTTCTTGATTCAAGGCCCGGGGTCTGAGACAAGCAATTGCCCGAAACGCGGGCCTCGTGAAATGTGTGTCGAACTTCTCCCACGTCTCCTCGTTGTCGCCGTCTGTATTGATAACGTCCTGGCTGGGCTTACTGTTTAGGGTTGATGCTGGCAGAGCAGCTGCCTCAACCCTGAACTCACTGAAGACCTTCGGGGGAACTTCAAGTTTCAAGTGCTGTCCGACAAGAATCTATGAAGATTTGCTTGAAACCCTAGTAGACTGCGTTTCAAAACAAATTCCATTCGGCAGCATCAGCTTTCGTCGAATATAGGGGCCTTAATAATTGGAATAGGGTGTCGGGGCCCAGTATACTATGATTGTAATAAGGAACCCCCCAAAAAAGTATATGTAATTTAGGGCCATGGCACTTCTGCAGATGCTGGGTGCCAAATAGCGACTGCTAGGCTCCCAGCAGTCCCTCAGTAACAAGGGTTCAGGGATTTAGGGACTGCGTTTCAAAGCGAATTCCATTCGGCTTCATCAGCTTCTGTATGACTTCAAGCAGCACCCTCACTTCTTAGGCGTTCAGTAGCTCGTAGATGATGGCCATCACGTATTGCGGCAGCAAGTTTAGCACAGGCGTCGCGCGTGCAACACGTCTGGCAAAGGCAGGCAAGTTTTGCCAGCCTTGCCTTTTTCAAGGCTGGACGCTGAGCATGAACTGGTGCGAAATTGCTGTCCAAGCAGCCCTAACACTTCTGCGTGGTCAGGCAGGGTGCTTCAAATCGCCAGTTCTCATCAGTTCTGGAGATGCTGTGTGCCAAACATCGACCCGGAGAGCCTTGTACCCCTTCATTAAGGAATATGGGAGTTTCCGAAAATAGGGGACCCGAATATGGCACCCTAAATGGTAGGGTCCTTATTACAAGCAACCCAAAATAACGCACCCCTAACTTTCGGAAACTCCCATATAGCTTAAATCAAAATATGAAGCCCTATATAACTTAAGCCATATTCCTTAATTGAGGGGTATTGGGCTTTATGGACATGCTAGGCTCCCAGCAATCCCTCAGTAACCAGGGTACTCTCTTGATCCACTGTCAACACTACATCCTTCAAACAAGACCTGAACCTTACGCCGTCTAGACAAACCCCAAAACCTTAAGCCAAAAATGACCAATCGAACCCTAAACGCTCACCTCCCAGCCCAAAAACCCTAAACTCTTCACTCCCAATCTAAAACTTTCAAAAACCCTAACACTAAATCCTATGAGCCACAAACCTTAAGGTTGCCACCTTCAGCGACTCCGTCACAGCCTCGTATTTGGAGAGCATATTCCCGGTGAAGTAGATCTGACGCTTGTTACCACGTAGGGTTTAAAGCTTCAGGGAAAAACCCTAAACCCAAACCGCAATAAATGCATCCTGCTATGGAGGATCTCACGGTTCTTTTCCGAAGCTCTCATCTCAACAACCTGGAGAGCCGGATACCACTTCACAGGCATTCAGAGTTTTAGTGTATGGGTTTAGGGTGTAGGGCTTTGGGTTTAGGGCTTCTGGGTTGAGGCTTTAGGGTGTAGTGTTTGAAACTGGGGGTGTTTAGGGACCTGGCCCCAGGGAAGGGCTACGGGTTTAGAGATCTGCATCTGGGCCATGGGACATGAACATAGAGAGCTTTAGAATGGTCCTTCTGGGTACATTTCACTGTAACTACTGTATAATGGGAGGAAGCTCCCGGAGGAATGCGACTACCACTTACGGTTCAAGGGTTTGGGTGTTGGGTTTAGGGTTTAGGGCACTTATTCTGCACTCTATGTAATTTTGAGCTATTGAGGCTTGGAATTTAGGCTGCGGGATGCTGCGATTTAGTACTCGGGGTGTGCAGGATTTGAACATCAAGGACTTTGCATTTCGGGCGCAGAGTTTCCTGAAGCTGAAGGACTGCAAGGTTCAGATATTGAAAAGGGCGTTCACGCTCTGAGCTGTTGGGATGCAAGCAGACAGAGCCGGCATTGGAATTTGGAAATGCTGCGATGTTCGGGTTTAAGCTTAGGCTGATGTAACCTTATGGTCTGTAAACCCCTAAACCCTAAACCCCTAACTAAACCCTTAAACCCCCAAACCCCTAAACCCTGAACCCCTAAACCCCTAAACTGCATCCTTTGGCCTAGGACACTGAACGAGCGTGTGCTTGGCGGGGTAGAGTTTTGCGGCCCAGGTCTGGGTTTGTGGGACTCTCTGCCTGGTTTTAGAGTGATGGGAGGCCAAAAGGGGGGTTTAAGATTCTTGGGGTAGGGATTCCTTAAAATGAACCCTATTCTGGGAACCCTTTTCCCTACTAAACCCTCATCGGCTAAAACCCCTTTTGGCCTCCTAGGATAGAGTTGCGGGTTCTCTTTTTTTAAAGTGCAATGGGGCCTTTTCTGCATGAGCTTGTCGGTTCAGGGCTCAGGGTCGAGGGTTTAGAAGTTAGTTGTACGGTTTGGGGCTTCGAGTTCACCTGGCCAAACCAGCAGAGAATTTTCGGCTCTTGACGAGATTGTTCTCTGTTGCCTGCACTGCAAGACCAACTCTCCGAACCCTGAACTCAAATCCCTGAGTCCCGGGACCCCTCAGCCTGAAGTCATTGGCCGAAATCCTGCATTCCTCAACATTGAAAACCCCTAATACGCGAACCCTGCCCCGTCCTAAATCCCTGAGCCCCAACGCCGAAACCCTAAATCGCCCTGAAATGGGAGCCTCCTCGATAGGCGAGTTGATGTGCGAGGTCTCCTGCACGACGCCCTGCAGAAAATGTGGATCCCAGAGACTCCAATATCCCTTAATTAAGGAATATACCTTAAAATATCATAGGATCCCTAATATGATAAGGAATATTCCTTAATGAAGGGATATTGGAGTCTCTGGGATGTGGATATCGCCGGGGGTGGAGAGGCTTCGGACTTCGGGTGTAGGCTTTAGGGCCTTAGGGTTTAGGGTATAGGGGTTAAGGTTTAGGGTTTAGGGTTTAGGGTTTAGGGTTTAGGGGTTAGGTTTAGGGCTTAGGGTTTAGGGTTTAGGGGTTAGGGTTGAGGGTTTAGGGCTTAAGGTTTAGGGTTTAGGGTTTAGGGGTTAGGGGTTAGGTTTAGGGCTTAGGGTTTAGGGTTTAGGGGTTAGGGTTGAGGGTTTAGGGCTTAAGGTTTAGGGTTCAGGGTTAGGGTAGAGGAGATGGAACAAATGCTAGATAACATTCCTCCTCCCAAGTGCAGGGTCGCAGGACTTAGCAAGCAGGTGGGTAACGAATAGAATTTTAGGTACTCTAAACGGGATCCTCATTGGGGAAAGGGCACGTATTGCTCCATAAGATAACTACCAGGTAGGGCCCTAAATCTCCTTGATACTATCTTGGTGTAGTACACCCCCAGAAGTCTACGCTGATCATTAAGGCCGCCACATCGGGCTCATGGTCTAGGGACCTGGGTATGACTTAGGGTTTAGGGTTTACGGGGGGTTTAGGAGTTTAGGGTTTAGGGATTTTGGGTTCACGGCTGGTAGCCTGCGAAAGGCTGAGGATATGGGCAATCCTATACATCAGGTTACCAGTCCCGCAGAAGAAACGCTGCTCTTGGCAGGAGAGCCCTTGGAGTATATTATATGTACAAATGGAAAAAAGAGCCCAAAGCAAGAGTGTTAGTAATTGTTTAAGCTTACTCTTAGCAGCCTTGCCGATACATTGCTTGTACAGCAGCAATGGGACAGTGCTTGGAGGGTCGTGGGACTTAGTATGTAGGTAATAAGTAGTGTAGTTAAAAGCACTCCACAGGGGATCTTAATTGGGGTCATGATGTCTATAACTCTATAATGTCACTACTTACTAACTCCCTCCACCCTCCAAGTGGGACTCTGACCTCAAAAACTGGCCGGAAGGTTGGAAAAGAAGGCTCTGAAACCACGAAAGGGTAGTTTCCGAAAACAGGGGACCCGAATATGCGGAAACTCCCAAATCCCTATGTGTAAACCCATCGAAATCATTGACCTTTAAACCACCGGGAGCCTCAAAACCCAAATCCTTGAAGCCACAGCCACTAATGAACTATGAGAATTTTATGGGTTTTAGTGTTTAGGGCTTAGGGTATGATTTAGAAGGACTAAATCTCATTCATGATCCTACTATAATTTAGTGTGTTATAGATGCCTTATAGTGGCAAACTCGGTTTGCCATCTCCTCCTAGGGGGGGTCCTTCTAAGTCATCATTCAACTAAACCGGGAAGCCTCTGCACCTCGACGCCCGCAAGATTCGAAACCCTGAACTGCCGAGCCAGAGGCCCACTACGAATGTGCACAGCGCAAGACTGGCAAATTCGGGTTTCAGGTTCTGGACTGAGAGTGAATACACAAACCCTAAACCCTAAGCCCTGAACCCTGAATCCTCAATCCTCAATCCTCAACCGAACCGTTGGGCTCCTGATCTTGGTTGTGGGAGTGAAAGTTGAGTGTTTGGGACTTTGCCGCTGACAGAACCTTTTAAGGCAGCAGCTCTCCGTGGGTGCTTCGCGTGTCAGAGCACTTCTGGCGCTGACCGTACTCTGTGCTAGTGACGACCTCTCTGGAAGGCCACTCGAATGTCGCATGTGTACTCCTGTACATGCTTCGGAGCTTCGGCCAGCCGTTCGTAGGGGAACTTCTCATGATACCAGCATTTCTTTTGTTATCACTTGTCTGGCGCCAAAACGAGTTGCAAAGCAGTCGAATGCTGTTGGCATACCTTCCGCAGAAGCAAGCTGTGTTGGGTTTAGGGTTTAAGGTGGGAGGCTTGAACTGGACGGAAGTAGGGTCCAGGGATTAGGGCAAACCACGGTGTCATGAACATGAAAGCCTGTAAGGAGCAGAAAAAGGCTTGACGGAAGCATAAGCCCCGCACCTTGTACAGAAAACAGGCAAGGAATCGCCCTCTGGACCACATCGCTGAGTTCACCCTAAACCCTAAACCCTAAACCTAAACCCTAAAACCCTAAAGCCCTAAACCCTAAACCCGAAACCCTCAAGCCTCGTAGCCATCGAACTCGTGGGGGTTCGCCTTGCCCTTCGCCTCAGAGAAGCTCAGAAGCTGACGATAGAGGCCTTAATAAATAGAAGAGGGTTCAGGGTCTAGGGTCTAGGGTTTAGGGTATAGAGTCTAGGGGTCAGGGTCTAGGGTTTAGGGTTTCGGTTTTCGGGGCTAGGGTTTAGGGCTTTAATAATCGAATTGGGCTTCTTTTAACCTATTTGCCTAAGGGTTCCAGAAGGCTTCTACTACAGGTGCTCTCTTGGGTTTCTTATGGACGCCTTAAAGACTTAGAAGAAACTTTGGGGTAAGTTTGTAGGTATACTCCGGAGCGATGATTCATAAAGAAACTTTGCGGGTAATGTAGGAGCCTTAATAATTTGAATAGGGTTTTGGTGGGCTCCTTATTTTTGTCCTAGTAGGACATACCTCCAAAGCCTATTCTAATTGTTAAGGCCACTATGTCATGGCACCCTACCACAGATCCCCTATAGACCCTTTAAGGAACCCATTTAAAGAACCCTACTATAGATCCCTTGCAGACCCCTTTAAGGAACCCTTTAAAGGAAGCCTATTCGAGTTACTACTGACAGGTCCTCAGATCCCGATATACCTTTGAAGATCATGGGACAACGGCTCGAGGTGTTGATGGTTGAGGGCTTAGGGTTTCGGGTTTTGGGTCTTGGGTTGGGAGCTTAGGGTTTAGGGTTTTGGGTTCAGGGTTGAGGCTTTAGGGTGTTGGGTTTAAGGTTTTGGGTAGGGGTTCTGGATTCTGGGTTTTAGGGTTTTGGGCTCCGGGTCAAGAGTCTCGACTTCGTATGATGGTGAGGATCAAGCTCCATGTGGGGATCCGATTTTAGGGGTTTAGGGTTTAGGGTTTAGGGTTTAGGGTACCTTCCCAGAAAAAACAAAGAACTCCTTCAAACAATGGAGGGGGTCCTCGAGGCGATTGAACGCAAGTTGCTAAATCAAGGGGTATCGAGTTGTGGTAGGCGAGCCCATAAGCCCCATTAACCGTCTGAAAAAATGAAAAAAAAACACTAAACCACATGAACCCATACAACGCTTCCTGCATGGAACCTCATGACGTCGCGAGAAGGAGTGAAACGGATTGAAATCTCAGAACTTCTTTCAAAGTCGCATAACAAGTCGTCTGCAACAACTGTAACAAACACCATCGCCAAGCTGCGACTGTCACGTACTTCTTTGGGCCAGGAGCCATGGCGCAGAAGACTCTTAGAAGCCCACTCGCTCGAAACGAACCCCTACTTCAGAAGCCTGCACCACTACCGGAGATCCTCAAAAGCCTGAAGGCCCTAGGAATCTTAAGGAGTGCTGCGCTTTGGTGCTTAATGTTTGTATTGTGGGTGGCAGTGGGACTGCGGTGGTTGCTGAAACTTGGGAGGCGGAAGGCTTGAACTACTCAGTCTTCAGCCCCCAAAGCAGCCCTAAACCCTAAACTCCAAAACTCCAAACCCCTGAACCCCTGGCCCTGACTATGTCTTGGGTGCTTGGGTTTTCCATGGCTTGAACCGATCATCTTTCAGCGGTCGCAACGGCCTTCCTGGTAACCCGACATGAACCCCTAATTGGAGGGTCCGTGGACTTAGTAAGTGATATTTTATAGCGTTATAAATACGTTTATCCCCAAGTAGGATCGCTATTTAGGGTACTTTATAACTCGGCTAGCTACCTACTTACTCAGTCCCTCCAAGTGGACTCTTCTAGCGAACCCTAAACCTTCGACTCTAACCCTAAATCCTACATCCCTAGACCCTCCACTATGCCCCAAAAAAAGCACATAAGCAAAAATCAGGATATGGATATCCCACATAAACCCCCTTAAATTAAAAGGAAGTCCCAAAAAAGGTAGGGATATCCCTATAAAATGCTTATGCTTATGTGCTTTTTGGGTCCCTAATACACTCTAGTCCTAACGAGGGGGGGGGGGGCACGGCCGGGCACGGTGTCGGGTCTGAGGCTCAGGGCTCTGCGCCCGAAGAAACCCGAAACCGTAAGCCTCGGTGACTGCCCCCACGCTGCAACAGTCCAGATCAGGGGGTCACATTACGGGCTATCTATCTATATATATATATATATACATACATACATACATACATACCTCTATATATATATGTATATATATATATATATATATATATATATATGTATATATATATATATATATGTATTTGTGTATAAATATATACATATAGTTGTTGTCGTATAAAGAATATCCACCTGTTACAGAGTGGGGGCAAAGTCTTAGCTATACCTTTACAAGTTTGAGGGACCGAAACGAAATCCTCGAACCCAAGCCTGAGCTCAACCCCTGAGCACTAGGGCCGGTTCAAGCCTAGACTCTACATCGCAACCTGCGGCTCTGGAGGGCTTAAGACAAGGTTTCGGGGGTATACCATATGACAAACGGATATGCTGATTTATCGAGGCTTCTATCTTTGCCCGAACTTCTGGACCTCAAAGATTAAACCGTAGACCCTGATAGCCAAGCCCGAAAACCCCAAACCCGAACTCAGAACCCTCACGTGGACCCCTGATTGATGGCCCTCCTCCCGTGATAGGAACGAAGATCCTAATCCCAAGGCGTTTAGAAGCGGGTGTTCATTAATCCAGGGTTCTACACGAAGCTTGAAGCCCCAAAGCCCTGCATGTTGGACAAGCCGAGGACAAAGTGGCTTGAAGGCTGCGTGCACCCCGTGGTGCTGCAGTCCCAAGTCGTGGCTCTGTGCAGCAAGCAAACGAACTTGCCACCGATTGTCGGGGTTTGGAGATTGTCATGCGTTTAACCACCCTAAACCCTAGATCCAAAACCCTAAACCCTGAACAAAAACCCTAAACCCTCAAAAGCAGGATAAATAGAAATTGTGTGAAGTTCTCTTCGAATTGCACGTTCATTACTTTCGAATTTTCATTAAATATGTGGAGAAACCAAGTCAATGCCAAACCAAAATCCAGGCACCAGCACCCGCCCACCCAGCCCGCACCCTGCCCTGCCCTGGCGGGGCAGGGCAGGGCCCAGCCCCACCCACCCAGCCAGCCCACCAGCCCAGCCCAGCCCAGCCCAGCCCAGCAACCCAGCCCAGCGAGAACTCCGAAATCACAGATCAAAAAACAAAACTCTTCGGTCAAAACCCCGGACCCAGACCCTATACAATTTCTATAAACCCCTACTGAAACACTGAAACTACTAGTGCCATTGGAGCATTAGGGTCGATTTCCCTCAGCCCTTTTGAAGTTCTGGATTTGGAATTTTGGGGGTGTGCGTGTTTTCGAGGCTTCGGGGCAGGGTGTTTGGGTGTGGGTGCTATGGGAAGGAGGCAGGGCAGAGCAGGGCAGGGTAGAGCAGCGCAGAGAGAGGTTTAGGGTTTAGGGTTACGGGTACGGGTTTAGGGCTTAGGGATTAACACCCCCAAACCCACAAAGCCTTCCGTGCAAGACTGGCCACTCTGGGCTCAGTCAGCTGTCTCACCGGCGACCGGGAATTGGCGCCATCAGTTGTCAAGAACCATAAATCCTAAACCGGTCTGGGTTTACGGCTTCCGGCAAGCGGCAATAATGGTAAAACGCATTAAATAACAGCTTAAGTTATAACAATGGCAACAGTAACGGTAGTAATCGCAACAGCAATACCTGTAGCAACAATGACAACATTAACAATGGATTCAATTGAAGGGCGTGGGATTTGCAGCATAGGGCCGTTACTCAGGAATCATGAACCTTAGTCACCCCACGTGCAGCCTCGGAGAGATTGAGCATCTTTGGTAACTGCAGAGTCTCGGGGAACATGTGATGTCAACTGGTAGGATAGTTCTGGATGCCCTAGACTCTAGACACGAGACCCCAAACCCTAAACCCTAGACCCTAAACCCTAAACCCTAGACCCCAGACCCTAAACCCTAAACCCTAGACCCTAAACCCTAAGCCCTAAGCTCTAAACCCTGAGACCCTAAACCCTAAACCCTGGGTTTGGAGCTCAACTGCGCCCGTCGCCACTCCCGGTGCCAGAGGCTGTGCCGCAGCGGGATCTGGCAGCAGCAAGATCTCACTGCTGCTGCATCCATTGTGCCAGCGTCTAGACCCCTTACTAGAGTGAGGTAGATTGCAAGCCAGAGGTTAGTTCCGCATATGTCTATGTATATGCATATATGCTTATTTACATGTGTATATACACACTGACATCTATATACCTATATAGAGACAGATGTGTGCGTGGGTGCGTCTGTGTGTATATATATATATGTTCATGTATAGAGCCCTACATGGAAGCATCCTTATGAAGGGCCTTTTGAAAAGGGACGTCTAAGTTCAAGATTCCCCCATACCATGCCCGTTACAAACACAACGTGCTCATCTCTGATTGACGAAGTACTGGTCCGGGTAATTAGTAGTTAGTTAGTAATAATTCACCCCAAAAAATTGTTCGAATTATGAAGCCCCCTATATCAACTGTCGATGACACAGCTCTCAGCACAATCTAGCAAGTGCGTGAGTGCTTTGGGTTTTGGACCATCGAGCTAAAATCGAAACAATAACCTGAAAATTCACGTACACATGGCGATGACACGTTTGTGAACGCATGTGTCGTTTGCTTCCCCTGGCTTGGTAACATTTGGAGGTTTGCGCCTTACTTGGCCTTAAACCCACAACTCTCATCGCTGGACCCGGCTTTAAACCTGGCTCTCTGAAATTGGGCAGACGCGCGGCACATGAGCCCGCAGCGGCGTAAAAACTTGAATCTGTACAGACGCACATATCGAATTAAATGACCCTAGACCGATACTGCTGTGAATGTGGTGCCTTCAAAACTCAGGGGTAGATCTTGCTACAAATGGGATGCACAAGCAACGCCCCTTTCAGAACAAGAAGGTTTCCACGTGGATCTTGCCAAAGCCTGCCTCGCGGCAGCAGCGCTTGACCTTCTGTGTCCGAGCTGCTGGTGAACCGGTTGATGATGTAAATCCTGCATTACCCATACTAAGGAGTATACCAAACTCCATAGTCTAGGGTCATCAAGGTAATGCAGGATTTATATCATCAACCGAGTCTCCGAAAACATGCATAGAGCTGCAGCGTTTCAGGCAATTGGGGGTTCAAGCTTTAGTTCAAGCTTTAGGTTTTACGGTTTAGGGTTTAGGGTTGAGGGAATTTAGTCTCTGTATCCTTCAGGCAAGTATCCTTTCCATCACGGCCGAAAGCAGCCTCGAATCCGAAACCCGAACCACAGTTCTTGGAATGCGAGAGTCTCAAACCCGCACCCTAAACGCCGAAAGGTTGGGGTTAGGGTTTAGGGATTCAGGGAATGGTTTGGGGTTCAAGGCTTTGGGCCTAAACCTCAAATCCCTAAACGCCTCAACCGAGAACCCCTGAACCCCAAACGCCTCAACCCGCCTGATGCCCCAGGCCCGGAAATCTCTGAACCCGTACAACACTGAACCCCGAATCCCCGAAGCCCACAAGCCTGGCGTTCCAGTCAGCCCTTGACTCAATAAATCTCAAGAGGGCTTTTTTTTCACAGTATCGGGGCCTGCCCAATTGAATTAGTCATCAAAGTGTAGTTACATTCAGGAACCATACACCGGACCAAGGGCTCCAGATTGTTGTCTAGAATTGTTTGCTGCACGGCGACGTGCACATCATTCAGCTCTGTGTCCAGTACAGGAGTACCATCGAAGGTCTCGGCTAGGGCACGGCCCCAGACACGGGCCTCGGTGCCCAAAAGTGTGACCATAAATCCAGCCAAGCTCGATGGAATAACAGGCTTGTGCACAACCTTGAGGGTGTAGTCGCATCATGATAGCAGCAATTCCATCTGCCGGCTTTCCCACCGAAATGGTGAGGTGCTCGCAGAATGGCACGCACGTTTGTATTCACGACTGCTTCTACACCGTTCTCCAGCCTTGGGATTGCCATTGCTTTCTGCAAGTAGCTACCCGCTGCAGTGGCGGCTTCACCGGCATTCTGCGACATTCCAAGTCCAGCTTTGATCTTGCTGACACCAAATGACACAAGATTCATAAGCATGTCCAAGGAAGTAACATCCTCAGTTTCTTCTCCAGCTAGCAAATCTTGTACGTCAGGTGGGACCGCAGGGGCGAACTGCCCAAGGTAAACATCCGTGGTGCGCAGCACTCCCACTTATACACGAAAAGTGAATGTAACCCAACCCAACCACAGCCCCTCTTGCTTTAAAAAGCCCGGAGATGCTAACCTCAGAGCCTGAACCTTAAACCCCAAGCCGCGATCCCATGACCTGAACCCGAAACTTCGGGTATATTCCTTCCTTACCCTGAGGGTCCAGATAGGATATACTTCGGCCTTCAAGTATTCCCTATATAGGTACATTGGGCCGAAAGTATATACTGTTTGGATACGTGGACCCTAAAACCCTAAACCTTTATGGAGCCCTTATAGTAACCCTTAAAGGAACCCTTCAAGGAACCCTATTTGGGCACATGGACCCTTAGGGCTACGACACTTGACGAGTCAGAGTCTTCAACTCCCCTGGCCATGCGCCTCGTCTTGGAAGGCTGCCGGGCCGCAAGCAAACGCGAAGCCATCTGAGGGCTTTGACTTTAGGGTTTAGGGTGGCGTAGGTTCTGGATTTAGTGTTTAGGGCTTCTGGGGCTTTCCAAGCCGTTCTGCAACAATGCTATGCTGGTTTATGTGTCTTCAGGTGAAATTCTCAACCCTGAAGCTGCTCAAACTCAGAGATCCGCTGAAAGACCTCAAACCCTGAATGCTCTAGGGTCTAGGGCTTCGGGTTTAGAACCCGAAGCCGTTCGGGGCCCTGCGGCGCCTCAAACGGCGGGATGAAGGTAGGCAAGGATACCTTATGCAAAGAATCTTAGTTGGGAATATCCCACCTACCTTCATCCCACCTTTGGAGCCCTTTGAATGGTGCCTGCGGCGCCTCCCTTCGCAGCGGCGACAGCGAGCTCCGCTACAGGAGGCCGCCCTAGCGGCAAGAAGGAGCACCCGGAGACTGCAAAACGGTTTTGGGTTTAGGACTTAGAGTTCATGCTCTAGGTGTAGTTAGGAAATATCCCTTCAATCAAGAGGGGATACTTATCCTGTTTTGAAGTATGTCCCTCAAAATTCAAAAGTTGTGGAGTTTCTTGAAACGGAGCAGGCTTCAGTCAGAGGTTGTAATTCGGGCTTCATAACTTTTGGGAGGAATGCATGCACGTGCTTAACAATGGTCAACAGTGTTCTGCGGTTCGTTACAAAGTAACCAAACATGGACTAGAAAGGAATAGAAATACTGATGGTTCAGACCCCTTCAAGGAGTTTGGGGTTCAGTGGATTTGGAGTTAGGGCTTCAGGATTCAGTTTGATGTAACTGCGTTAGCAATTGAGCGGGTGCATCGTTCCCATCGCTAGCTCTGGGATTCACGAACGGTCTGAGGTTCAGGGTTTGGGGGTTAAGGCTTAGGGTTTTTAGGGTTTACCGTGTCTGCGGTAAGCGCCCAGCAACATTCGCAAATTTTGTACGAGAGAGCAGACGCAATCAATGAAGGACGAGGGAAGTGCCAAAGCAACTAGGCTCCATGCACCGTTCCTTAATGACCCGGAGGTTTCAGCAGTGTAACCCTGAAGTATGTAGCTCGTAACGACTTTTCTAAACCAGCCCTAATCCCGGCGAGCTTAAAGATGTTAAAAAGATTTTGGACTCGGTACTGAAGTACGCCAGGTTTTCGGAGCCTTACCATAATCTCAGGTTTATTCTTGGGGATAAGGTAGGATGGAGGAGAGTTTTGGGTGCTGTGTAGATTGTAGAACGGAGCCCCGGGCAATTGTACGACCCATTCTTCAGGCTTCCATATTTACTGTGGTTTCTTGCTTCGGGCTGTGAATCCACTGTAGCACCACTCCTTACAACCCTTGTAGAACCCTAATAGAACCCTGAAACGAACCTCTGTTCGTACCGGTTACCAGCATAGGGAACTTATAGAACCCTCCTCTATTCCTACTAAGGACCCTTCTCGGACACTGACAGCAACCTCAAAGGGAACCCTTTGTTCCTATTAGGGCTTCTGGCCGAACCTTAATTCCTAGAGATCTCTTTTTGAACCTTCAAAGTGGCCCCCCTAAACTTTCACACTAATCCCTGAACCCTAAACCCGTCAAGGGGGCCCTTCAGGGAAGCTCGGTGCAAGCCGGAATCCATGGCCTGCACGGAAGCTGACACTTCGCCGGTCGGGAGGCAACTCGCCACGGCTCCGGGAAACCTTGGCAACTCAGGTTCGGGGGACTTACTTGGAGGGTGGTCGGGAGACTTAGTCAGCAGGTAATAAATAGAGCTATAAGTACCCCAAAACGAATCTGATTGGGTATATGATACTTATAACTCTATAAATTAACTACCCACCAAGTATCCCGGTAAGGGGACTAAGTGTGAATCAAGCTTGTATATAAGTAGACAAGTTTTAAGCACCACAATTTTACACTCTACTTGCCAAGACTTCTGACGCTGTCTCTCTCTCCCTCTCTCTCTGCCTCTCTCTTCCTCACAACAGATAAAACTTTAAGGCTCCTTCTTCAAAGCCCCGTCGACCCCTCATCCAAGTCATCCCTATACGCACCCATCCTCGTAGCCTAGCAGCGAACTTAAACCCCAAACCCTAAACCCGAAAGTCTAAACCTCAAAGCCCAGCAGCATAGATCACCACTGAGGCGTTCTCGCTCTCAGCGGCCGCAAAGAGCGCCTCTTCCACTATAGGAAGCCTCCTGGGAAAGCTTTCCCCACGCTGCCCGTCTAGGGCTTTTTTTTGAGCTCCTTTTTCCCAAGAGGCAGCAATCCCCGTTTAGGGCTTAAGGTTTAGGGTGCAGCCCGCGCAGCGTAAACAGGATCCTGAATGGGGTTGCGATAAGACTCTATAAAATAACTACTCACAAAGTCCCCAACTCAAGGATCGTGGGTTAATAGGGCTCTAAATGCAGTTAGAACTACCCCAATGACGCTGAACCTACTTCTATGCTGTGTTGGCGTAGGGAGACATCAGACCTAAGGGAGGGCGTTTGGCCTGCTTAACCCACACTCAATCACTCCTTTGATTCAACTTATACCTGGAGGATCATGGGACTTAGTGACCTAGTAAGTCCGGTCAGAAGTACCTTGATTCCGGCTATAAGTAGATATAACTGTCGTTACCTTACGTGTTGCACTATTTACTAAGTCCCCTGATCCCTAAACCCTAAACCACTATCGAATCCCTATAGAACCTTTCAAGGAACCCCTTAAAGCAACCCACAAAAACCTACTTACAACCCTATTAACTACGTCCCTTGATCCTCTAAGCACCCTTGTTGCAGGAAAAGCTCTGCACGAATTTGTATACAAGGGCACCTATGTGCCTAGGAGTGTCCTGTCACAGTGACCTTCAAAAGTAATAAAAATAATAATAATGATAATCACAAGCAGAATGAGAATAGCAATAGTACTGATAACACAGTGTGCCGGCAAACGAGGGCCAGCGAGCAAGATTGTGCACCAAGCTTGGTCAGCCGCAATCTTGCTCAAGATTACCGGCCCCCACCCCCACCCCCCCAAGTGGTGCAAGTGGTGGGTGAAAGTGACCAAGATTAGCAAGATTGACGTCAAACGCCATCAGCTCTCAATTGCGGGCACAGTGTAGTAATACTGCTACGAGTCATAGTGATAGCAGTTATCATCATGGCAAGAATAATCATGAACCAAAAAAGACAGCCAAGTCCCTTTTGTCTGCAGTTTCTTCGGCTTCTTTTACGAATCTTACAAGAAGCTAAGCGGCCGTAAAAATCATATAATCACAAAAGAAACCTGAACCCTAAACCCTACACCCCCAACTGCGGACCAAAGGGGACTTGCCGGTCTCTTGCCCGGAAGACCAGAAGTCGAATTCCTGTAGCTTCAAGCCCTGCCTGGACCCTCTAAAACCCTTCCATTTTTAGTGCTCCCTATGATTATTACAAAACCTTCTTGTTTAGGGTTCCCTATTGGGATTAACTATTATGATTTCCCAGAAGAAATCCTTAAAAAGGTAGGTTAATTTGGGGTTCAGGTGACCCTAAAATCGTGAAGCCCCAACCCGTGCACCCATGAATATAAGGGTCCCCAATCCCTAAACCCTACATAGCAGAGAAAATCCATGAATATAGGTGCCCCTTGATAAGCAGAGTATAATTTTCGGGGTATATTCAGCATTCTACCGGATCTATATACCAACCAAGGGGACCTAAGCTTAAGCTCTAAATCGTCATGGAGACTTCGTGCCGAGGTTTAGGGTTTAGGGTTTTAGGGTCAAGGGTTTTGGGTTTCAGGGTTTTGGGTTCAGGCAAGAGTCAAGTACTCCAGGCTGCGGATGCTCCAAAGCAGAGTCACGCCTGGAACCTGGCGCAAAGATTAGCGTTTGAGGGCTTAGGGCAGGCGTTAGGTTAGGGTTTCAGGCGTGGGTGTAGGGTTGAAGCTAAGGTTGAGGGGTTTGGGGTGTTAGGGCAGAGAGCAATGGATCGAAGGCAATACAAAAATAGGGACCCAAAAAAGCACATAAGCATAAGCATTTTACAGGGATATCCCTGCCTTATTGGGCTTCATTATAAGGGGATTTATATGGGATATCCCTATCCTAATTTTTGCTTATGTGGTTTTCTGGGGCCCCAAAAAAGAGTGGCGAAGCTCGGAAGAGAGCCTGGCGACGCACAGCGTCGCGGAAGACCGCGATGACCGGGGTGATGCCTGCGGCTTCCCAGCTCAAGGGAAGGATCAAGAAAATGGAACCCCTAAACACCAGGCCTATCTTAACCCGCGGTATCCCTGTACATAGACATGTTGAGGGGCATTGGTCTCGCTGGATAGGGGCTCGATGCAAAAACCTAGACTTAAATCTCTGTTTTGAAGATGACCCATCTGTTTCTGCAATCTTGATAGACATCTCGAGCCGAAACGCGAAAACCTGAACCTTGAACCCTACACCCTAAACCCGGAACCCTGAACCCTGAACACTGTTGTGTACTCGACTCCACCCAAACCGTCCAAATCCTTCTGGCACCTATTCAACCATGTCTAGCTTTTTTACTTCTTCAGCCACCCCTTCTTGTGGGCCCTTATTGAGGAACTGAGCTTAGGATACCATAATAAGGAGACCTTGTTATTCACCACCGGTCCCTATCGTGGTAACTGAAACCAAATTCCTCAACCCAGTTTTGGGTGAAGAGCTCCAGCGCCCCAGCGCTTGGACTTGGGTTTGCCCCCGAAAGGTTTTGACCTCACCCTGCTGAAAGGATCAGGACACATAGTAAGTAGGTTTACAATGGAGGTAACAGTCACATCTACATACAACCCTAAGTAGCATTACTTGCTAAGCCCACCCATTTAAAACCTCTCGGTAGGCCCGCCTTGAACGGCCTAAGGGCTCATGACTCAGTGCTCCAGCCTCCTCCAGAACCTACGAAGCCAGAGTCGAAGCCCTGAAGACCCTCCAAGCCCCCTGGCGACGTCTGCAAGAGCTTAAAACCACACCACCGTCACAAAACAAGAAGGAGACGAAAAAGCCTAAATCCCAAAACCCGAAGCTTTTACCTTAACCCGAAACCCTGATTCTAACCCCTAAACCCCTCAACCCTAAACCCCTAAACCCTCAACCCCTAAACCACTAAACCCTAAACCCTTGAAACAAGCAGACTTGGCTTGGCTTCCCGGCCGATCCCGCCGGCGGCCAGGAAGACGGGACCGGAGGCGTAGCTTCCTGTCACGCTGAGGTCACTCAGCCTTAAGGTTTTAGGTTAAGGCTTTTTGACTTAGGGTCAAGGGTTTAAGGTTTGGGGTTTCGGGTTTAGGGTTTCCGGTTTTGGGGTTGGGTTTTACGCTTCAGGGTTGAGGCGTGAGGGCTTTTTGGTTTTCGGCTTAGGGCTGTACATCAATACACAAACATGTGCTTTACAATGATCCGTACGGGTGTTGTACAAGCGACGAGGCTTTTAGTGCTTAGGGTGTGAAGCCTTAAGCAATCAGACAATGGTTCGGCGGGGGGTCTTTTCTTATGAGCTTATGAGGGAACCGTAAGTAGTACGACTGTAAACTCTTCAGGCTTCTATACTAGTTGCTTTGCAATGATTTGCAAGAAAGGGTCAAGGAACCAGTAGGTCGGGAACATAAGTAAGGCTTACCTCAATGCACGTCGTTGCAAGTCTGCTTGAAAACTACGAGTACTCTCTGCATCCTCTGATCAGAGTACACAAAAACCGGGAGCGCAACAACAAGATTGGACGGCAAACCTGCGCGGGCTGAGGGTTTCTCGCAACCGCGTGCGGAAGCGCTGAGGCTTTGGTGCCTGCCTTTCCCTGTGAAAAGAAAACAAGGATCCGGTGAGGGTTTGCTCATTTGGGGGCTTGAGGGTGTAAGTTGCGGGGTCGGGGATTACTACAACATCTTCATTGTACCCGCTACTCAGTCATGTAGAGACTGTAGGATCACTCTGCCACGAACTATTGAAACTCCCTCACGTAAATGACGAGCAACAAGAGACACCCTCAAACCATAAATAAACTCTAAACTCTAAACCCCTGCAGAAACCCCGGACTCATCAATCCATTCGACAAAATTACAGGAACCTTACGTGCCCACACCGTTAACCGGAAGGAAACCCCGTGAACCCTTCATCCCGGAGACAAAATAACTCTGTTTAGAGCTTTGTTTTTGGATTTAAGGTTTAGGATGCGACTTGGTAGGTAGGTTATCAGATGTTAGAAGAAGAGTAACTCTGTTTAGGGCTTAAATTTTGGAATGAGGGTTTAGGACGCGGCTTGGTAGGTAGGCTATAAGATGTTACAAGAAGAAGAGTAACTCTGTTTAGGGCTTAGGTTTTGGATTTAGGGTTTAGGACGGAACTGGGCAGGTAGGTTTAGGGCTTAGGTTTTGGATTCAGGGTTTAAAACAAAAAATGGGTTGGTAGGTTATAAAATGTTACAAGAAGAGTAACTCTGTTTAGGGCTTAGGTTTTGGATTTAGGGTTTAGGACGGAACTGGGTAGGTAGGTTATAAGATCGTACAAGAAGAGTAACTCTGTTTAGGGCTTAGGTTTTGGATTTAGGGTTTAAAACAAAAAATGGGTTGGTAGGTTATAAGATGTTACAAGAAGAGTAACTCTGTTTAGGGCTTAGGTTTTGGATTTAGGGTTTAGGACGGAACTGGGTAGGTAGGTTATAAGATCGCACAAGAAGAGTAACTCTGTTTAGGGCTTAGGTTTTGGATTTAGGGTTTAAAACAAAAAATGGGTTGGTAGGTTATAAGATGTTACAAGAAGAGTAACTCTGTTTAGGGCTTAGGTTTTGGATTTAAGGTTTAGGACGGAACTGGGTAGGTAGGTTATAAGATCGTACAAGAAGAGTAACTCTGTTTAGGGCTTAGGTTTTGGATTTAGGGTTTAGGACGGAACTGGGTAGGTAGGTTATAAGATCGTACAAGAAGAGTAACTCTGTTTAGGGCTTAGGTTTTGGATTTAGGGTTTAGGACGGAACTGGGTAGGTAGGTTATAAGATCGTACAAGAAGAGTAACTCTGTTTAGGGCTTAGGTTTTGGATTTAGGGTTTGAAACACAAAATGGGTTGGTAGGTTTTAAGATGTTACAAGAAGAGTAACTCTGTTTAGGGCTTAGGTTTTGGATTTAGGGTTTAGGACGGAACCGGGTAGGTAGGTTATAAGATCGTACAAAGTTAATTGCAGGGCAATCTCTGATTCCAAGACACAGTGATAATAACGCTTCTTTTGTGTCTTGAGCCAAATATCGGTGATAACGTCTTCGAGTGAAACTGCTTCAAGATGATCTACATAAGAAGGGCCTGGGGGCTCGTGATTTCTCAACTCCCCCCTTGTAGACAGCGTGAAACAGTTACTTACAGGAAACTAGTTCTACTGCGCGGCACTCGGAAACCTAACTCGTCTAACAACTGCGCTTCAGGCGGTTTCAGTTCAGCTGGTGCTCGAGGCGTAAACGCGACTAGCACGACACGGGACTGAAGTGGCCCTTCCCATGGCACAGTGCAGTGTCTAACAGACGGCTGGAAGAGTGCAGGCAGTTCTTCAATGCGACCTGGGCTATTGCAATCACGCTGTGGGCATTGCTGATCACCAAGTGGATCCTGGACCCATATCTGACCACCCGTTACCTTGGTTAACGGGTAGACAAAGTTGTACGATCCTGGATCGTTGTATTTGTCAGTGTGCAAGTCAAACTGACAACCTTGGTAAATCGCTACAGCAGTGAAGGTTAGGTTCTTGGCCTGTTGCCGAATGAACCTTGTGAGGACACGCGTAACCCCCCTGAACTTGGACGTATTGCTCCTTAACCCTACTATGCCACCTCCATGTGCATACGCTCCGGTTGTAAATCCCTTACCCTCGGAAGAGACAACTGGGCGAGACGAAGAATCTGGAGGAAGAAGGTAGAACAGCTGCAGAATATGATTTTCTGTCAGTCTGTGTGGCAGGATGCCGGCAACAGACTCAGGATCAGTATCTGCAAGAGGATCTTCAGGAACGAAGTTCTGTGATGGAGCAGCAGGTATCGGGGCATTTGCGGAACCCTCAGACAGGCAAAGCTGTTCCAGCATGGATGGCCACTCTTGGGGGCTAATCACTTTCGTGAACCCATTTGCTCGTTGCTCCGTCGTAGGGCAAAAGGTTATCTCGACGTGCGGCTTTGCGAGTCTCTCACAGATAGATGCTACGTTGACCCTGTGCACCCTAGGCATGTGGCGGAGTTTAGCAGAATAGCCTGCCTTAAGAATGGAAATCACGGTATTATTGTCTTGCCTATAAAACACCGGGATCTCAAACCCAAGGATATCGCCTAAATATTCTTGAAGGTTTTCTACCTCTGAGAACATGGCGGTCGCGAGAGAAATCGTTTCGGCCTCTGTCGTGGACCGAGCTGTGGAGGACTGCTTACGCGATACCCAGTGGAGTGGATACGCGCAGTCTCCGGTCTTTGCAACGACGAGGATTCCAGTCGTGCTTTTCGCTGACAGAGGGCAAGACGCAAAGTCTGCGTCTGTATACACCTCTATCTGGCAACCCAAGTCCTGTTGCGAAACAGACCCTTTTAAAGTTACACGACTTGAGTGATGGAGATACGACACACAACGCAGTAGTTGACGGTCGTCGAATCTATCCCATCGACTCACTTTAGAAGCTAACCTCGTGATTATGAACGAGATGTCTGGGCGAGCAAGTCGGCTGAGCCAGAGGGCTCGCATCAGGATTCGGGAGGCGGATCCGTGTAACTCACCGGCGCTGTTAAGCTCGCTGTCAGTTGCTTGGTTCTCGGGGAAAGCAGGTGACGCTACCTTGCGAAGCTTACTTTTCTCTACACCGGTCATTTCACAATAGAAATCAACAAGTTGCTGCGTGTAAGCAATCATGTCAAATTCACAAGTGGCTACTGAGTCATCACGCGTGAAACTGTGATGCCGCCCTAGAATCCTACAACCATTATTGCCGCCTTGAACGAAGACTTCTGGTTCAAGCTTCACAAGACCACGGAGCTTATGCCAGAACTGGGAATGAAGCTCTACGGGTCCGCTTAAAGTCAAGTCGTCGACGTAGACATTAAGCACTAACTTCTGGGAACCGAACTCGAAAACCCAAGTGCTAGGGTAGGCGGGAAGTTCGCGACCTCCGAGCCTTTTCAACTGAACGGTTAAGTGGTCTTGCCATCTCTTACCCGATTCTGGGTGCCCGTATAGGCTTTTCTCAAGTTTAACTACAAGACGGCTGTCGGGAGGGAACCTCTGGGTCCACTCGGGGAGCCAGAGCTCCCGAGGGATTATTACCCAGGTCTCTCGACCGATCTTCGCTTGCAAGTATGCTTGAATAGCATCTGCCACAGAGGTCGCGTGACCAGGGCGGAGCCCGTAAAAGAGGCAAGCGGCAAGACCTACCAACCCGGTTGGTGTAGTCGCAGTTTCTTCTGAGCCGAACAGCACTGGGTTACCAGAAGCATCGCGCACTTGGTCCCCCTAAAGACTACACGGCCTTTGTACTTGTGCTGTGTTGGGTGCAACTCAAAGTGCTTTACACCACAAAGCGTCAGAAGTTCAGCGATTTGGACTCGGCGTCCAGTGTTGCGGCAATCCTGTTTCAGTTGCCACAAATGCATTACGGAATCGTCGTTCCATGTCTGGTTTGAGCGGAGTCCTACACCCTCAGCCTGAACAGCCTCTAAACCTCGAGCATCCTTCAACCATTCGCTCTTAGCAAGGTTGCGTGTCACTAACGCATTACTTGACGACAACGAAGGTGTGTGGCGATGGAATTGCTCGGGGAAGAATGACTCGACTATCAGCTGAGCGACTTGTGAGTTGTAGTCGCTATTGGCATAGGAATCGCCTCCTTTCGACACACTTAGCGAAGTGGACTGGCTGTGCTCGTGTTGCCCAAACAGCTGGAGCACTCGAAGGGAAGTGGTGCTGATGCATGACCGCTTACCAGAGGAGCATCCGCTGAGCATTACTCTTTTCAAGTTCGCGCGCTTCTCGAACTCAATCCAATCAGACTCGTTCCAGAGCCAACCCCCTTCTGGGCAGTCGACTGCAACATGGCAGCCGTTGGAAAGCTTTTCTTCGGCTAGCGAGATTGCGAGTTTCAGCATTTGGCGACACTTCGCCCGGCTCTTTCTGAGCTGTGCTTTCTTACTCGCTCTATGTTCGTGCACAGTTGGGTGTTGTTGTGCTGTTTGTTCAAGGCATA